TTTTTGGTGGTGTTCGTGTTGCTCTAATTTTAGTTTTCTATGTTGTCTTTTGTATACTTATGTTGGTCTAAATGTGCTACATAGAAATGGAAATATTTACAATTTGAAAGATGAAATAATTTCTTTTGTCATATTTTTTGTCCTCAACTGAACCTCAGTGTTGTATGTCAGAATATAAAGAAGACTTGACTATTGTATAATTATTTTCATATAATAAATATTCAAATGTTTTGTTTGTTATTTTAAGTTGCATTCGTGCAGTTCATGAAACTTTAACAAGTCTTATTGTTACAGCTTATATATGTTATTATTATCTTTTTGGGCCAACCTATAGGCAAAACTGTTTGTAATATGGACTACAGAGAGTAGCACATTGATAGTTTTGATTCTCATTCGTTTGTGATTTAAACTTTTCTTAACTTCTGATCGTATTATTTGCCTAACCATGCAACATTTTTTTGTCTCAAGTCAAGATATTCGTCAGTTGATGTATCTACCTCGTTGTATTGTATTCACAATTTGATGAAGTGTCAAATATTTGATCAAATGATGTTTATTATCTAGCTTGGGGTTTGCTCATAACAAATATCATTTTTTTCTCAACTTAACCTTTACAGTTAATCGTATTATACCCAACAAATGAAATCCGCATTTGCAGTCAGTTATAAAAGGCTCTTAAATAAAAGATACTTCAGAGGAGGCTAACGACAATAATCTAGCAAACCTCTTCAATGTTATCTGTTTAAAAAAGAAAAACACAGACTATAAAAGTTTTATTTTTCTTCAGATGCTTAACAGTTATGAATTGTTATTTTGATAGGTTTGGAAAGCAGTATAGATAGAAATGTTACTGCCTATGCATGTTAACATATCGGATACAAAAACTTAGGTACTGTCATAGACACGTCTGTAGCACAAAGTGACATTCAGTGTACAACTATGTGCATCACCAAGCCATCCTGTATCGCAGGAGAATATGACAAAAACACACATGTCTGTACGCTAAAAGGTGAAAGCATGAATGGAACTCAGTCAACTTTGCTACTAGACAGTGACAAAACATATTTTTTATTCAATAGAAAATTTGATGGTGTTTTTAATGGCGAAAAATGTAAGCTGTAAAAGGCATCAAAAAGTGAAACAAATTAGAACAAGTGAAAAACCAACAGCCTGATTTTTGCTCAACACAGTAAATGAAAAATAAATATGACAGACAGAAATAACACCTTTACTTTTCTAACTTTAAAGAAATACAAATGTTTCATTCTGGTTTGTTATGCCAGTACTGTAGATAACATGTATTTATGTAAATTCCATATAAATAATAATGTTTCAAAAACATTATTCAACTTGTTTAGGATAGAAAATAATAGACGAACATCTACTTATCAGAACTGTCTTAATCATTTACACTTACCATAATCATAAAATGTATATCTTCATCTTCCGATTTTGTTGATTCAAATCTCTTAACTTGTTAAAGTAGTGTGCTACAAGTTTGATCTGCTTTTTTTTATACCAAGGTTATTGTAGCTGTCATTAGTGTTCGATGTAAAAAAAAAAACACGTAAATCGATCAAAAAGAGATTAATTATTAATACTAAACCCCTAACAGGAGGGATTGTGCCTGATATTCATATGATGAAGACATAATCTTTCAATCAGTTTAATTGAGGTCTGGAGCTGGCATGTCAGTAACTGCTAGTAGTCTGTTGTTATTTATGTATTATTGTCATTTTGTTTATTTTCTTTTGTTTCCTATTCTGACATCGGACTCGGACTTCTCTTAAACGGAGTTTTACTGTGCGTACTGTTGCACGTTGGTTTTTTCTACATTGGCTAGAGGTGGCTACAAAAATGTATTTGAAAATGTATAGAATACCAAATTCCAAGGGAAATTCAAAAGGGGAGGTTAATAAAAACTGAAAAAATAAAATGCTATCAGCCAACGGACCGAAAGGAGAACAGCCGTCATATTCCAGTTGGTACAGGAATTTTCCGAGGAAAATGGTTGGTCAATATGAAAATAATAAGATGTGGTATGATTGCCAATCAGACAACTCTTCACAAGAAACCATATGACACAGACATTAACAGCTAAAGGTCACTGTACGGCCTTCAACAATGAGTAAAAATTATACAGCATAGTTAGCTTTAAAAGGCCTCGGAATGACAAGTATAAAAACTATTCAGAGGAGAAATTAACAGACTTATATATGTACCTAGTTTTGTAGCTAGCTAAATCTCCAAATTGTTTGACAGTTGTTTATAATTCCTTTATAAATATGTATTGACAAAATTGAGCGAGCAACTCAAAAAGACATATTTGGTTGATGTTAAGATTATTTGGATACAGCAATCCACTAACTTTGATATCAGTCATTCTTCGTCTTAACTCAATGGAAGCAGTTGAAAATAAGTCAATTTCCCGATTAGATTATTGACGAATCTAACCATGAAATAAATGTAAATAGATACGGATTTATAGATACGGAGTTGCATACAAAACTTATCTGTTTTTTAAGAGTGATAAAACGAAGGAAGAAATTTTATCGAAAAAAACCATAACTACACAGACAATTATAAGTGATAATTTTATTTAGACTCTATCGAACAGACGATTGAATTGATGTTTGAATAATCTGTGTTTATTTTATTTCATATTGTCAAACAAATAAATATTTAATTAATGAACATTAACATATTTTAAGTCTGTTATTCATGTTTTGAAGTTTTTGGAAATACTGCCAAATTGAAAACTACACAAAGTCATCGCCTAAACCAAAATTCTCGAAAATAAGTACACGTGGAGAAAAATGCCAGTGTGTTATTATTTTGCTTAATTTATACAAATGTCCTTACATGAATTAAGTATGTATAAGATCATATCATCATGTTTAATATGTACTGACTACATTTGGAGCTTTAAACATGTGAAACAAAAGAGGGAAATAATGCAGTGCTTACGCACCCATAGATTCACCTATGATTAGTTCAGACAAATAAGACGTGGCAAGCCACCCATATTTACGGGCCATATCAGATAATGCAGAATTTTGCGAGATTATCTTCTTTTCAAACTGATAAGGATAAAACATTTCGCTGACTTTTTTAACGAAAATACATAAGTAACCTGCATAAAGTCGAAACAATTAATAAAATCCATTGTAAGGTGCCATCCAACTCCAGTAGACTAAACCGCCGTGGTATGATTACTTTCATTCAGCAAAAAGGCCTTAATTACTTGTAAGTTAACACTATCTTTGGAACAAAGCACAGAGGTACGAACAATGATCACCTAAATCACGGGTCGGGTTTTGATCTTCTTTGTGAGTTAAACAGATTTTTATTGACTTTAGATTTGAATGCGGTTGATTTCTTATAAAATATAGCTGCAATGAGAGCAAGTGAGGAATCCGATTTTGTATGAGTCGCTGTTATTGTTAAATGTGTGATTTGACTTTCTTTCTTTTCGAATTAATTTCAAAACTAATATTATATTAACAGATTTTCTAAATAACATATATATATAAAGTTGAATTTTGAATAATGATGATTTTATAAACGTTTACGAAAATTGAGAATTGAAACGGGGAATGTGTCAAAGAGACACAAACCAGACTAAAAAGCAGAAAAAGGCCAAGGCCACTAGTGGGTCTTCAACACAGCGAGAAAATTCCACACCCAGCGGCAGGCTTCAGATGGCTCCTAAGCTTGTTGTTGAATTAAAAAAATATTAATTAATTTACCTGCTTTTTGTTATGGCACAAGCATATGTCGGCATATATCAGTGTATTCATAACATTAAAGATTTTGTTACCACAAACAAAGCAAACTCTTTACCGAATTCTTCCATAAAAACAAAGATTTGGTTTACAAGTTCATGAAGTTTGGCTGTACCTGTAGAATTTTTATCAAAACGGGATATTATATTTAAATTTTTACCGTGTTGCTGTTTACAAAGCCCATAAATTTAGACACACTCACACATAAAGGTAATCAATTTAAGGTAAGGGTACCATCAGCTCAGTAGTATTATGAATGTTCCTGATGAAGGTGAATCAAGAAATTCACTTTGGACAAATGTAATTTATAAAGTGTTGTTTTCATTTCATACAGCACTGGGCCGATACTACCATGACTACTGCTGGTGGACTATCCGTACCGTACACGAGGGTATCATCAGCTTAGTAGTCAGTACTTCGGTAATGATATGCTTTATAACAAACCCATCTAAAATTGTCCATTTTTTTAATTTAAAGAAACAGCCAAACGTGTTGTTTTCATTTTTTTAATACAGAAGCAACACCTTTAAACATCGTTTTCCGAAATAAAATTTATTATGTTTTTGAAAATATATCAAATATATCTAAATATATATTTATATATATGTACAGTTATGTGTACATCATGATCCGACATCCTGTCAATAACTTTTATTTTTATATTTTGGCAATGCAAAATGGCATAGGTTTCCCAGATTGTTTTGTTTTTTAACTAAGTCTGTTGGATGTGTACTGATCGATATTTAGTCTTGGATACATGCTTTATTTATTAGTTGTGATTGGCTTCGAACTGGCTTTCAGTATATGTACTCTTAATTCGGTGCTGTGTGTTTTTAATTTTTTGTTAGTGGCTCTTGATTTTCCTACCGATCTTTTGAGTTAATATAACAGAAAGGTTATGTGGTATGATTGCCAATGAGACAACTATCAAACAAAGTTCAAATAATGTAAATGTAAGCAATTATAGGCAACCGTAAGGCCTTCAACCATGATAAAAACCCATGTTGTATGGTCGGCTATAAAAGGTGACGACATAAAAAATATGAAACAATTCAATTGAAAAAAAATAACGGCCTTATTCATAACAAAACATTTCAAAAACAAATTTGTCAAACTTGAAGCAACAACAACCACTAAACTAAAGGTTCCTGACTTGGTACTTCGTCACCGAGGGTATCACCAGCCTAGTAGTCAGCATAATATCTCCCACTATTGTTTCGTATCTCAATATTATAAACGCCTCTACATAGCCTAAATCCGCAATTTTGACAGACTTTGGCCAACGTTTAGTTTTTATAAATCAAATGTATAAAAACGGATATCCTTCACCCAACCGAAATTTTTGATGGAAGTAAGGCCAGATATTGTACATAGATATAGGAAGATGTGGTTACGAGTGACAATGAGACAACTCTCCATCCAAGTTTTTGCATAAGTCGGATACAATTACTCATGTTTAGCGATGACATTCGATTCATAATTAAATAATTCAATAATTTAAGAAAAGAACATTTACAATGATATTTTTAATACAATGCTTGCAATAGCACCATGATCTGTTGAATAACACATTAACGATACCTGTATGGACATATGTTGAAAACGTGTTAAGTATATAAAACAGACTTTAATATTTAATTTCAGTAAGATTTTAAATTTTTAGAATTTGACACTTAGAAAGAAACAAATACAGGGTCCTACATGCACCTTTTTTTATAGGGGCAATCCATTAAATTACTAACCGATCATGTATGATATTGAAAAAAAATCTCAAAACCGAGTTCGGTTTTTTCAGTCTTTAAAAACTATAAAGTCAATTTTTTTTTTAATTAAATATATGTTAGAGAATATGATATTAACCCGTTTCTTCCTGAATAAGTTCAAGCAGTCAGCGAGAAATGGTATTTTCGGCGAATCTAGTACGTTCAACTTGGTGAAAGCCACAATTGTCCATGACGACAGTGTCTCTGGGTCGCAAGTAATAAGTAAAGAATCGAACTTATTCCTGTAATGAACCAGAAAACTGTCAACGAGATGAAATTCATCTGAAGATCTATATTAACATGTCAAAATGTTAAAATATTCAATTCCAAAGAGCTCGTGAAGGAAGTTTATCGTGTGTGTGGCTTTGGAAGCCTATCTTGTACCTTAGTTAATTGCCCACTTTTGCATGTCTAAATTGTCTAATTCCGTTTTTTAATGACAGCTGATTTGTCAAAGAAAACAAACAACTTTATTTCATGTCATCCTCTATGTCCATTCAACATTGGTAGTCATTACATTCGTCAATGCGTTGACATTCAAATTAGAAAATTAAGAACTCTTGTACTTCGAAGCGGACCAGTAAGGTACTTCTTGGAATTAGATAATGACATTGTTTACAAAGCGAAAGAATAGCCTTAAATAAGAATCAATAATTCCTGTCTCTTTAGGTCCAATGGAGCTTATTATGGCATGACTGGAGGTGGTATTGTGTTTATTGTGCTGGTTGTAGCTTGCTGTTGTTATGGGTGTAGGTCGAGAAGGCCGAGTGGAGGACAGGTGATATCAACTTTTCAGCCAACAGTGCCTTACGCTCCTTACTCTATTTCACCTGGTAAGCATAAACGCTGTCATTTAATTTATGCATGACTAGGTGTAAATCTTTGTAACTTGTTAGAAAAAAAGAAGAAATTAAAAAAAATGTAATGAAAACATTAAGGAAAGCATATTTATTTTTAAGATATCTACTAAACAAACCCCACAAATTTTTAAATTGTAGAAATTTAAAAAGGAAGAGCCGTGATACGATCGTCAAATTTATGAGATAATTGCAAGTTAGTAAGGGTAAAGAAAATCACATTTCAAAGCTTAGATTACCGAGTGTTATGTATGAATGATTTTTAGAAACAAAATTTAGCACCTCATATTTCACAGTTTAAGTTTGAAGAATTAGACCGATAACGCAAAATAAAAAACCCAATCTTAAGATAATATTGTTTCTTACATGTATATTACAATGATAAATATTCAATAAATGAAAGAACACATTGTGTCATGGTTTCAAAAAACAGAGGGACGAATAAACAAATCGAATAATTAGAGACATTTGCATAAGTAGAAACCCCTAGGACGATTCCCGTTAAGTTTAGTTCCAATTCGCCAAACAGTTTCAGAGAAGATTTTTAAAAAGTTATAACGAACGACGGACTCAACGTGATGGAAAGAGTCACATGGCGCTTTTGGCAAGGTGAGCTAACAAATCCTAGGTAAGGGGTTAAATGTGTCACGTTAGATTTGATTAACAGGTGTCATCTGCACGTTTAAGGTTCAGCACAGGGATCTTCGATTAAATTGTTAACATACACTAACACTCGTACTTAATCATGAACTAGAGGTTCTAAAGAGCATGTGTCGCTCACCTATGTATTTGTACATCTTCAACAACGGACATTCTCCAACATAGTGAAAAAATAGAATTTATGACAAAAACCTATCTTTTTGTTTATTTTGTATTTCTGATCACTTTTGTTGTTTACAGTTTCTCTCTATCTTCTTAGTTTTTGTCCAAAACACAAAAAAGGTAAAAATAAATCGTTTTTAAGGGCAAATACTCCAAGAAAGAGTAAATACTAACATTTGCGGCAACATTTGACTTTTTGCAGATCTTGTCTTGTTAATTATTTTTCTACTTAAAGTGTCTAAAAGGCATTTACTAGTTGAGATATTTTATTCAAGGAGCTCATCCATTTGGAATGACAAACAATGGTTTTTCGGGAGGACACAATCCACCAATTGCCTCGGCGCCAGTTACAAATGGTAAACGGAGCTCATCACTGTCATCGCTAAGCAGTAGTTTAAAGCTAGCGTCAAATGCGTTTGAAATGGCAGGAAATTTAGGAGAAATTGGTGGAAGCGTGAGTGAAATATCTGAAGCCTTTATGTAAATTTAGGCTTTAGATTACAGGATTATAAAGATACATGTGTGCTTGTGTATGCAAAGTTTTGCATATAAACTGACTACTCTAATGTGTACTAACAAACTATCAACCAACTGTTTTGTTGCAATGCTATACTCATGTTAATGTAATGCATACTATTAGAGTCAATAGTTTTTATTGTAAAGTGTACTATAAGCAATCTTTTTGGGGCGTATGGCAAAGAAGGCAGATTTTTCCAATCTTGACCTTCTAAGAAATTTTTTAAGATCATTTGTTTTTTATAGTAAAACAAAATTACATGTAAAAATAAGATATGGTATGATTACCAGTGAGACAACTATCCAGCAGAGTCCAAATGACATGGATATAGGCTTTAGATCACCGATTGACCAACAGCAATAAGCAAAACCCATACCGTATATGTAGCGTAAAAAATACAACATGACAAGATGTTGATTAGGAATTCAAACGAGACAAACCAATGTATATGGTGACATTGATATAAACATGTATTTTCAACTTCCACAAAAATCAAATATTGTTATTAAGATTAACCAGTTGTAGTACTTTAAATGTAGTAGATTGACAAAACCAACAGTTACTATAACTACAGACGAATATAGCAATGCTTCAACTTCATCTTGCCACGCCATTTTAAATTAGTATAAATCCAGTATAGTATGCGATTGTGAGGAGATTGATTAATAAAGATTTTACCCCTATATCGAGTGTGATATGATGTTTCTCTACTCGAGAAATTTTCACATTTAAAACGCGAGCTTTCCGAGATTTAGTGGTGGCATTGGATTCTCTAATGATTTTGAGACGATATGTAGACAAACGTAATCTTTCTTTTTCAATAACCTTGAAAAAGTTGTGATATTTCAATATAACGTCGTCATTTTGCCGTGACTTCACAATAGAAAATTCAAAGGAAAGAAAGAAAATAAAAAAAACCACACGTTGATTAAAAAAATAATAATAGTTCAAGAAAAAGATAACAATTAAGGAGATATAGATTCTACCACTGCCTTTAATGTTATTCGATTTTTTTTCACTCAAGACAGTTAAATTTTCAAATTTAAAACGCGAGGCTTGCCCAACATTTTAAACTTTTAAAGACGATTTCAAGACGATATGTAAGCAAACTTTTTCTTCCTTTTGCAATGATATAAAAAAAGGTGTCCTTTTTCTATATGACGTCTTCAGACATGGTCGCTTTTTTCGTTACGTTACAATAACAAAATCAGAAGAAAGCAAGAAATGCTGACGTCATAATAAGGCTTCGACAAATGAAACGATCCAAACGTTGGTTATAAAAACTTTAAATAACAAAAATACCGAACTCCAAGGAAAATTCAAAACTGAAAGTCCTTTATTAAATGGAAAAATAAAAAGCTCAAACACATCAAACGAATGGAAAACAACTGTCATATCAACAGGTCGGGAAAGTATAACTAGATACAAAGAAAAGGACATAGCAACCTCGGAGATGTGATATTCACCAAGGCCAATCTTTTTATAACTTAATCAAAAGTTAATAATTGTTTTGTAATATGACGTTTTGATCCCTTCCTCTCAAACTTCGAGAACTAAAAATATTATCTGTGTTGGCAGTTGGTAACTTTCATAAGTTGAATTATTCGATAAAATTTACTAAAAATAATAACACCTAAAAATGAAAACGAAAAAGGAAATGTTTGACGTCTAAATCCTATATCATTGACGTTGCCTTGGAACAACGCTTATATTTAGGTGCACGTCAGCTGTTCCTTATTTACTTCACGTGATTTTGTCCTGCGGTCATTAATATGGTTAACAACAAATTCAAACGCTCTGAGCCAATTGAAACCGAACTCATAAAAGAAATAAATTATCGATGTTCCCTCTAAAAGGAACTTTATTCTTTTCCAACGGGATGTATAAAGACACACCCACGTTCGTTTTGATCTATAAAGAGGTTAAACTCCTAACTATCCTATTGTCTGTCGATACATTTATTTTTGGCATTGCACTAGTCATGTCTTCTTTGACTGTCCATGACGTTAAAATACTAAATCCCTGGGATGTGTTTTAGTTGATTTTAGTCTCTGATGCATGATTTTTTATAATTAATTGTTTTGGCTTTTAACTAGCTGTCAGTAACTGCGAGTACTCTCAAATCGTACTTTCTTGTTTATTTGACCTGTTGATACTAATTATATTGCTTTTTTTGTTATTTAATGTTATTCAGGGTTATATCTGGTCTATGTACCAGCTTTTATAAGTGTTTGGTATTACTATAAATTTTCACTTCGTACTATGAACATCAAAATTATTTATTTTGTAAAAATATTTCCATTCTCTATTAACTCGAATGATTCAGCGCCCTCTATCGGTCAGTGTCCTCTCGAGGGCTTGAACGCACTATACGCTAAAAATCCTTCATCTGCCCTGTGAATCAGGTGACTAATCAGGAGGCTTCAATTCGAGTCTGCGCAATTGGACTACCGGAATTAGATTCAAATAAGATGAATGTAAACAACGCGCTTCATGTTATCGAGACAAAATATTCATTTGAATTCAAAGAAAAGCAGATAGAAGCTATAAATTCAATTGTAAATGGAAAGGACACCTTTATTGTTCTTCCGACAGGCTACGGAAAGACCAAAATATACTCTCACTTGCCAGAGAAATACGAACTTCTTAACAACATGATGGGAACGATTTTAGTAATATCACCATTGCAATCCTTGATGTTAGACCAGGTTGCAAAGATGTCAGCAATTGGAATTGATGCGACGATTGTCGGAGAGTGTCAGCCTGATAAAAGTGTTGCAGACCAGATTCTGAAGGGTGACTTTGGAATTGTTTTTTCCTCTCCTGAAGCTGCACTGACCCCTGGTATGTGGAGAAAGTGCTTCACAAGTGGTGTATTTCGTGACAACTTGAAAGCTGTAGTTATTGATGAAGCCCATTGTATTACTGAATGGTATGTATTGTTTTGTATGTTATGATATCAGTTTAAAAGAGAAGTAATTATTACATCTTTTCAAAAACAAACTTAATAATGATATCATTTGAAAGTTGGACCTCACTATTTATATCAAAATTGATTGTTTGTGTTGGTTTGAGTATTTTTGTAAGTGTTTTTTTTTTAAGATCATACAAATTTAACATGACAGTCACATTTAAAAAATGGAATAAATGTGTCAATATATTTATTTAGAATAAAAGGAGACATGGGGATACAAGTCTGACAGTCACAGAAAATCAAACAGAATAGAATAAAGAATAGAACATTTTTATTTCCCAAATCAGTTACAATTGATTGACATAATTAATTATTACAACAACAACTCTTAACATTAGACAGTTAGACAAGTGTTTTTAAACTTAATATGCGAAGATCAAGTTTTCTAAAGAAATAGAATAATTGTTAATCAAATAGCTTATTAATTACTTTTTTTTGCTGTTCTTATTGTAGTGTATACATGTACCACGCAGTAAACTGAACTAAACTGTATGCCAATGTATGCTTTATTTTTTAGGGGTGGTGAATTTCGGCAGGAGTACAGCAGATTAGGAGAACTTCGCTCTATTTGTCCAGATGATGTGATATTTGTTGCATTAACAGCAACAGCCACCAAAAGCATCAGAACACAGATATTAAAAAAGTTGGACATGATTGAAAAAGAAGTAACCACAGTATATCAATTACCAGACCAACAAAACATCATGTACACAGTTAAGAAATCTAGAAACAATTTCATTGAACTGCAATGGTTATTAGATGATATTGTAAAGAACAAGTTTAATGCAAAGAAAACGGTTGTGTATTGCCGAAACATTGCCACATGTGCAAATTTGTACGAACATTTCAGCATGAACATTAATCAGTGTGATAATATAACTGAAAGACTTGTTGCGATGTACCACAGATCAACTGCAAAATTAAACAAAGACCATGTTTTAGAGGAATTTCCCCAAAACAACAGTAAACTCCGATTAGTTTTTGCAACTGTGGCGTTTGGTATGGGAGTTGACATCCCAGATATAGACTATGTGGTTCACTGGGGAGCCCCACGTGGCCTTGAACAGTTTGCCCAGGAGTGTGGACGTGCAGGAAGAGATGGTCGCCAGAGTCAGTCCATAGTTTATTTTACAGGGCATGATATTGCCAAAGACAGATCCAGTCCTGAAATGTGAGATTTCTGCAAATCCACATCTTGTTTGCGACATGCGATGAACAGTCATTTTAAGCTTGCACTTGCTCTGATTCTAATTCTACTGACAAACCAAACTCAGACTTGTGTCGTTGTTGCTGTGTATGTTTCAATTCCTGCAAATGTGGAGGTTGTGTTCCCCTAGAGTGCATTATGGACTTTGCATCTGAGATGCCCCCGTCTGATGTATATGACAATTCAGTAAGAAATCTTGATGAATGTAAATTGAAACTGTTAAAAGCAAACTTGATGGACTTCTAAGAATGTCTCATTGAAGAAAATAGTGAAGATGTTAACGCCTTTGATGCTTCATTAATTGAATGTATTGTGACAAATTGTAACTATCTGTTATGTGAAGATGACATTATTGACCTAGGGCTGCTGAACAATGAACTTTCAAAAGAAATTTTCTTGCTCATTGAGGAAGTATGTTGATAAATTGAACTGTGTATGTACAAAAATGTACATTTATGTCAATGTGGTTTTATGCAATATCATAACATCTTTGTTTTCATTATTTTTGTACATGTACTTTTGAACTGTACAGCAATCTGAATTAGTTGTCTATTACTGTCTATAATTAATAGTTTTAATTGTCATTTGCAAGATATAGTCTTCAACCTTCGAATTCTCAATATGGCAATAAACCTTACTTGAAACCTAAACATGTATATAGCTAATATCTGTTTTTATTTAGTAAAATGTAAAATTGACATATTTTATGAAGGAAAATTTTTGAAATGATTATTATTAATAGCATATGCTTTAATTTATTTTACAATTTTCAGTTTTATTTTCAAGAAATAAAAGTCTGGGTTGATAAAAGGTATTTTATGTGTAAAAAAGTGATGACCTGTTAATGTACACGTTTTTGTGAGTTTGAAGTGTTTGTAAATGTATATGTGTATATATATAAATTATGAAAGATGTACCCTGGAGGCATAATGCACAGGGTATTTAAATTAAAATATTAATCTTGAATCTCATAGTTTTTGTTCAAAACTTTTAACCCTGTTTGGTAGTATCCTAGACAATTATGTTTCACACAGGTCAGGCGGTCAGGGTCTAGAATTCTTTTTCGGTACATTATTCTACATAATATCAGAAACAATATAGACTTCATTTCAAGGTGAATTCATTGGTTCTGCCTTTTCGTAAGGTCTTCTTTAAAACTTCTACATCCTTTGGTCTCTGGCGGAGATTTGTCTCCATGGAAATCATTACACATCTTATTTTTATATATTTAACAGGTCGGGTTAAAATTATTCAACAGAAAAACATGATCTTCACCAGCATAGCATGCACCAGCAACTTTGTTCATGTTGTTTTAGGTAGAGACAACCTATGTCTAGAAACCGAAAAAGGACAAGGATGAATGAAAGATTGCCAGATAATAAAATTTGTGCAACAGGTCAAAACTAAAACAAATAGCTTTACTTTATTTCCAAGTCAGGATCTTTCAGTTCAGTGGTTGTCGTTGGTTCATGTCTGTCAACTGTTTTTCATAAAATTTTTGTTATAAATTATGTTTTGAATTTCTCAATTGAATTGTCTCATTTTTTTTAAGGTCTTGGTCTTTTAAAGCCCACTACACTGTATGAGTTTTTCCTCATTGTTGAAGGCCGTATAGTTGCCTGAAATTGCTTACATGTACATCTACTTAATTGGAATTTTTGTGGATAGTTGTCTCAATGGCAATCATACCACATCTCCTTATTTTTAAACATACAGCTTATGAATAGTTTCAACTACAAAATGAAGAGAAAGAATAAAGCAATATACATGATGAAATATTTTTTATTTCCATGATTACTGGATAACTAGGCAAAACAAATAGATAATATTTACATACATGCATGGACGGTATCAGATTATGAACATATAATAATAATACAACATTTATAATATATCATGCATTAATTAATGATGATCTTATGCTGGCTTTACTTATTACTATCAAAATATTATATAGTTGAACAATCAACCAGAAGAAAACACTACAGTTCAAATTCGTATCTAACAGAAACTGAACCATCATTGCACTATACACATAAAAAGATAGACGGCAAACAAAATTATTAACAACTTTTCTTACATTGCAAAACCTCATATTACCTTCAAACACTAAACAAAAATATTAACCAATATTGCATTTCCCTTACTCATCTTAACACTTAAAAAATTCAAATAATAACAATATAGTATTGATATGCACTAACTCATGCTTACTATAGATCAATATTGCATTTCACTATATCATGTTGACATAAAAAAACAAAGAATCACAATATTGCATTGCACTAACTCATTTTTACTATAATTAAAAAACAGTGATCAATATTGCATTGCTCTAAATCATGCTGGCTTTTTAAAAAAAACCCAAATAATCACAATATCAAATTGCACTAACTCCTTTTTACTTTAATAAAAACAATGATCAATATTGCATTGCACCAAGTCATGATCACTTGAAACAAAATCCAGAATCACAATATTGCATTGCACTAACTCATTTTATCACAAAAAAAATTCAAGTAATCACAATATTTATTTGCACTAACTCATGTTAACATATAACAAAACCCAAAAAATCACAATAATGCATTGCACTAACTCATTTCATCACAAAAAAAATTCAAGTAATCACAATATTTATTTGCACTAACTCATGTTAATATATAACAAAACCTAAAAATCACAATAATGCATTGCACTAAATCATTTCATCACAAAACAAATTCAAGTAATCACAATATTGATATGCACTAACTCATGTTAACATATAACAAAACCCAAAGAATCACAATATTAACTTGCACTAACTCATTTGCTCAAAATAAAAAATCTATATTGCGTTACTCTAACTTCTCTTCTTGTAACAAATGTTTTACAAAATCAGTAACTATTGTACAGGAAAACAAACACTGACAAAAAACCCATGTCACTTATTTAAAAATGAAATATTGCGCTACACTGTGCGAGTAAAATACAAGAAAGACAGTTAAAACAACTATTGCACTAGGGAAAAGTCCTGGTTCAGTTTATACAGTATAAGACCTTGTTCTCTGAATGATGGCATACTGCTCCTTCTTTCCAGTCAACCACTTATACAACTTGTTTCCATTCAACTTGCCTAAAGTTTCAAATTCGATGTTGTCAAACGAGCGAAAGTAGCGACCAGGATTTCTGTCAAACAAATTTTCGTCTTTCAACTGGTTAACAACCATATCAATGTCCTTCTTAAGTGATGGCTTCCAGTTTGATGGTTTTCCAAAGTACTGGTCTAGTCCTTTAGAATAGCAATCTAAGATGTGGTTGCATCCCTGCAAACTACGACCAATACGTTGAATTGACGATGATGTCATATTTCCGTGCAAAGAGCCTAATGCATCTTTAGCACGTATATTCATAAACTCCAGGGCTTGGTCACCAGGAACGTTTCCACCTTGAGTACCATGAATACTAACAGATCTATTGTGCTTCATCTCAAAAGCTAGTCTTGGAGGAAGTAGGGCCATTAGTTGTGCCTGCAGTTTGAAAGCTAGCTGACAGTACTTTGTATGATTTGTCATGGAAAATTTTAGCATGTCAAACCTCCACATTCTTATAAGGCGATCTCCATCGTTCTCCTTGGAAGCATCATCTCGATTCCAGTCCATCAAGCCCTCTCTTAAAACATTACAGGCATAATTGAACTTAAAATCCTCCTTTTTTGAGCTGGTGTTTGTGGTATCTGAATTACTGGAACTTGTGTTGCCAGCAGGATTTCCTTCGGACAGATGTTGAAAATGTTTATACTGGCAGGTATCTCTGTGCTTTTGTCGGCACCTTCCATCTATGGCAAATGTTTTTGGACAGCCAGGGTATCCACATTTTACTCTGTTGTCATTTTCCTGCTGATCTTTTCCAATCTGATCAAACTTTAACTCTTTGGTTGCAACAAACTGGGTAACAATGTCATTGGCAAGCTTATCCAGAAAAGATTTCTTTTCTATATCGTCTTTTCCAACTTTCGTCTCAAAGTCATCTAATGATGTTAGCCCAAGAATCTGCATTGCTGCTAACAGAATGTGACCTTTGGTTACAAACCTTAAAATCTCACGGCAATCATTGACCGCATTCTTCACCTACAAATAATAAAAAAAAAAAAATGATGCAATGATTGTAATTTCAGATATATTGTTTAGTGAAGAATAGCTATATACATGTACATTAAGATACAGTGCTTTTTAGGAGTAAAATTAAGAGTGACCCATTTCTTGAAATATGCATGAAATATTTGCCGTCATTAAGCAATAATCTAGACTGTTAAGAAAGGCTGTATGATACCTTCCTTTTGATTTTTTTTTTGTCACCATATATATGTTGTAGGGGTGTTTTAAAGTACTCTCTCAAGCATTCTCACTTTTTTTCTGTTATTTCTGTCAGTTGCATAGCAAAACTTTATATTTCTTAAAGCATGCCAATTAGTCGATATTCCATTATATTCAGGCACATTGCAGTACTTTGTATGTCATGGTATTGATAAAGAAAACTACAGAATGTGAAAAATTTTCTTTTAAGTAATTTCACATTGGCAAAAATGAATATGGACTAACTATTTGTGATTGGATATTAAGCAGATATCAATCAATCAGGTTTATCAACAGAATTAAAAATTATGACACACTGATTAATTGGTGTACAAACCTCTGAATTAACGCCACGTCTGTCGAACTGATTCCTCAGCTGAAACAGAGTTCCCTTTTCACCTGATGAAGATCCTTTATACAAAAGGTTGTATGATTCCTGAAAAAGAATAATCATGTAATATTGCAAGTTTCTGAAAAACCAAACACAAGTATATAACTTGTTTTACTTTATTATGTAAAATATCTCTTAAACAATTAAATGGTATTTCATACATGTACCTATTATTAAGCTATTTAGCTATTATTTGCAATACACTGCTTTTTTTTTATTAAGTTCATAAATGTAGATGGAAATTACAATTAAAACATAAAAAAATTCTTGTTGAAAGCACATCTCTTTAAGTTTTTATTATTAATGTCATAAAATTTTCAAATACTTGTAATACAATTTCATAGTTTTACATGCACCTACCTGTAAAGATATAACATGCCCGTGCCAATCCTCACTTTTCCAAATAAAGCTATCCAACCCATCTTCAGCTGTGATAGCATCAAGCCTTGCACGACTGGCTGCTTCTCCCCTCTCAACACTAAGAGCGTCACCACCAAGTAAAATAGGCATCATTTTACCATCTTTTGTTCTTGGTACATATTGCTGAAGATGCTCAACCACTTGTATCATCTGCTCTGTTATGTTTTCATCTTTTTCTAGTATACCTAAGGGAATCTGAAATGAAATTAGGTCAAATATGTAATAAAAGATGTGTTATCGATATATTACAAATTCAACAGAAATGTCAGTAGTAAAAATCAAATTGAATCTAAAACACTGAAGCAGATATAAACAAGCATGTGTGAAATTAAATTACATATATATATATTCATTTTAAGTTTTTTTTTTTTTTTTCGTATAATCATACATCATACCGTTAATAATTAATATCCTTTATTTTAATGCATACATATACTTTAATTACTTACAACATTACTCTTTTTGGCTGACAACTCTGAATATGGGTGCTGTATGTGGAACTCAACTAAATCTTGGCTATCTTTAAGTGTAGGTACAAATTCAACTAATGCTCTTTTGATCAATATTCTGAAATTTGAATGCAAAGCTTCATAGTCTTCATGGTTTGGTATAAAGGCTTCATTGTGAATAGACAAAATGTCTGCTTGTGGATGGAGAGCGTCTTTGGTGTTGTCCGTAATTCTATGTTGAACTGCTATTGAATGGACAAGATTGTGAGTTTTATTACTGGTTTCAAGTGTTTTATGTCTAGTCTTCTGTCGACAATTTAAGTTGTCCATAACTATTTCAAAGGAGGTGTTTCCAGAAATTGCTTCATCTGCAGTTGTAGTAAATGGTGAATCCATATCTGAAAAAAATTAGTTGTTTTATATTTTTCAACTCCATATTATTATAAATGACATGTCATAAAAATGACAATATAGATTGAATAGTTTATATACCTTCTATGTCATTTGTCTGGAATTTTATTTAATGTCTTCTCTGTAATGTAATTAGTAATATAAAAATTTAGTCATATGGATAATTATCAATCACTGAAGAAGAAAAAACACTTGCCAATTCACTTACAGCTGTTAAGAATATATTGATAAAGATCAATTTGTATAAATTCAAAATACATACAAAATAAACAGGTGGAAAAAATCCAAATATCATACCTGGACTAGTGTTATCCTTGAGTATATAATTTCCTGGAGTTTTCTGTAAGGATGTATCCATTTGTACGTCGCTGTCAGAAGCTGCAGAGGTTGAAATTGGTTCGGCTATGTAGATAACTGGTGATTCCTCACTGCATGTAAATGGTGTACTTGGAGTCACTAGCTCGTTGTCTCTTTCAACTGTTTGTGCATAACAGTGATCAACTGCAAAAAGATAAAAAAATGTTATATGTTTAAAAAATTGAAAGTGAATGTCTGAAACTGACTTTAAAATACTTATTTTTGTTAGTCAAAAATTAATGCAAGCATGCGTTATCTACTATTGTGAATAAAAAAAATCCAAATATCATACCTGGACTAGTGTTGTCCTGGAGTATATAATTTCCTGGAGTTTTCTGTAAAGATGTATCCATTTGTACGTTGCTGTCAGAAGCTGCAGAGGTTGAAATTGGTTCGGCTATATAGATAACTGGTGATTCCTCACTGCATGTAAATGGTGTACTTGGAGTCACTAGCTCGTTGTCTCTTTCAACTGTTTGTGCATAACAGTGATCACCTGCAAAGTGATAAAAAGTGTAATATGTTGAAAAAATCGAAAGTGAATGTCTGTAACTGACTTTAAAATACTTATTTTTGTTAGTCAAAAATTAATGCAAGCATGCGTTATTTACTATTGTGAATCACTGATTAGTGGCATAAATACAAGTAGATATAAGAAGATGTGGTATGAGTGCCAATGAGACAACTCTCCATCCAAGTCAAAATTTATATAAGTACCGGTAAACCATTATGGGTCACAGTACGGATCTATTTAATGCTCATTGCTAATCATTACATAAAAACATAGCAAAAATTTCTGAATAAACTTTTAACCCATCTTTTTTTATGGAAAAACTGTTAACTTGCCAAACTCCTTTTAGCAAATTTAAATAACTGACAGATTGAAGTAAAAAAAAATCAATCAGTACACATATGATTTCTATAACAATGTGAAAAAATAATGAACATAATGAATTAAAAAGATACATCAATTTCAACAAAAATGTATCTCATGCTTCTTTTGACTAATTAGAAATTCAAAATATTCATATTCATAATGACGAATGACTAGAAGCATTTTTAATGTTTGAATGCTTACTTGATGATAAGTCTGTACTGCTAGTGTCCTGATTGTGTTGTTCAGAAACTGCCTTTGCCCAGTTCTTAACAGGGATATCAAAGGATTCACATATCTGATCTATCCGACTTAGTGTTGACTTGTAAGAGGTGGAAAAGCCTGCTCTGTTAAATGTACTGTACACCTATAGAAAACAACACAATATTTAGTTACATTAGATATTTAAAAAATTAAAACAGTTGAGTTAATTCATCCTAGATCCATTTTAACAAGAATGCATCTACATACATGTATATGAATATATTTGTTGGGAGTTTTTAAGTTGAATTACCAAGGGCAAAAATGTAAAATGCAGCTGCTAGCTGTTAATATGATACTTTATATGGTACACTACCAAGAATTTACCAACGTTTTTTTGGTACATTTCTACCCTCGTACATATCAGTACTGTTCGGCAAGACTAAAAACTTGTAATGTTATACTTTCTTTTAATTCAGTACTGTTTATTATTATACAAAAACTGTACAATTACTAATTCTATAAATTCAGTACTGATTTTTTCAGTACTGTTTCAATACTGATTTCGTCAGTACTGTTTCAGTACTGATTTTGTCAGTACTGTTTCAGTACTGATTTCGTCAGTACTGTTTCAGTACTGATTTCTTCAGTACTGTTTCATTATGATACTGATTAAGTCAGTACTGTATCTGTACGGAATATTTCATTACTGTTTTAAGTATATTCTTACTTTTTTCAGTGCATGGATTAATGTGTTCATTTAAAAAAAGATGTCATTTCTTTAAGTACGTAGCTGTGCACTTTAGTTTATTTATCTTACAATTGGTTACAATGTTTACATTTGAATGCATATAGTGATGCCAATTTGAAAATAAAAAGAACTGAAAAACTAATCAACTAGGTAATTATGTATTAATAGCAAAATTAAGGTATCGGTGGTCTTAGGTTGTTTTGTACATTTGGGTTGGGTTAAATGTTCTCTTTGACACTTACTCCGTTTCCATCCTTTTCTATACTGTGACATGTTGATGATTTCGTTATGTTTTTTTATTTCTCTGATTTTTTGTTCTGATTTTGTTTTACTTTAGGTCCAGCTCTTCAACAGTTATTTTAGCTGGTTTTTTTTTCTTCAATATTTTGGCATTGTCAAATTTGCATCTCATTCTGGTGCGGTCAATTGATATGGTTTATGTTTTTAGTAAGTTCTTATTAATATAGGTTTTATATTTGACAATATCATATTACATGTATTTGTGTCTTGCTTGGGTCAAATCAAAACATATTTAACAAGACTTGAACATTGGAACTGGGTATATTACTTTTGAGAAGATGGATTGGTGGATGTTTTGTCATCCAGTGGCAAGTTAAGTGCATAATCAGAACGAGGACTTGATACTCAGATATAAATGATGACACTATTTTGTACTAGACCAATATTACACACTGAGCTAGGATGAAAAATTTTGTCCTGCATTTTTTTTTTATAGTTGTAATCTGTCCTGCCTTTTTATTTTTCACTGTGTTCGGTCCTGCTTTTTTTTTTAAGTTTATCCTGACTTTTTTTTACCTAAAAACTCCTGTCCAGCCTATTTTTTTCAAATTTCATCCTAGCCAGTAAGAATTAATAGGTATCCTGTTAACAGGAAGTTGAATGGGTGAATTTTAAACTGCATTACTCAGTAAATCATGTTCACATGAGGACTGATGACTTTCAGGAATCTCTTGATTTGTAATTCCTCAGAAAACTGTGATGGATTTGCATATTACAGACATACAGAGGTTAAAAAAGTATCAAAATCTAAAGACCGATTTCCAACAGAATGATTTTAAAATGTCTGAAGGATGTCATTTGGTACATAAATTTATAACCTTTTTGATTTTTTAGCATAAATTCCCACAAAAAGACCTTCTCCTTTCATGAAAAATGACTTAATCAAATATACCTCACATTACAAATTACATAAACTATTACAAGTTATATGGATTTGAGTTACTTTTTGAAAATATTTCAATACTAGTACTAAAAAACATGATTAATAATTTTACATTATTCCTGACAATTGTGGTCAGGTGGCTATGTATGTATGTATGTACGTAGATCCCTCCGTTTACGGAGCACCCATCGAGAGCTGCAACTGTACAGTGGAATCCGTGTAGTGACACTCCCTATCGGGATTAATGGCGATGTGTCACTAATGTACATTTGTTGACCATTAAAATACATGCTTTGCTCATCAACATTGATTTTTTTTGTTAACTGAATAAAACAAGATGAAGATCTCAAATGTTAAACTTTCTCTTTTTATCTACTGTATTCACTTCCATTGCAAGTACAACAAACAGTAATCTTAAGAATGAACAGCATGATATAGTTACATGTAAAATTTCTCTCTCAATTTAATGTTTTTAATCACTGTTTCATAATTCTGCTTCAGTGTTATTTTGCACTGCTCTTCCAATGCATGTGATATCACATATCTTCGCCAACTTGTTTCTGAAAAATAAAAGGTTGATTATAACACTGTCAGATTTCAATGTTATCATGTTTGTTAAAGTCCAAAAATAAGGTCAACTATAGGTCAACCATAACATAATATGTATAGTGTACATGCATTGCTAAAGGTGGTATTACGTAAATAAAGGTTCATATTATCATGGAGAAAAATGAAAAAAGAATGGAATAATCATTTATGGGTTACCTACTTGAAAACTGATCTAATACGATTGGGAGAAAAATTTTAGCGCCCCAAGTCTGGGTTGCCAAATTTCCATGTTTTCAATATAGGCTGCACTCTGACATTCTTAAATGGTTTTGTTATAAATTATGCCGTTAACTTTTCTAAATTGAATTGTTTCATATTTTTCATGTCTTCGTCTTTTGTAGCTAACTATACGGTATGGGTTTTCTCATTTTTGAAGGCTGCACAGTTGCCTATGATTGTTAATATCCACTTCATCTGAAATTTGGTGGGTAGTTGTCTCATTGGCAATCATACAACATTTCATTATTTTATACAGCAGTTTAAAATTTTTAAAAAAGGATTCTTCTTGTTGAATTTTTCATTATTTGTAACAGTGGCAATTCTGATTAAATTATCATTTCAATCTGTAATCCAGTTTCAGAGAAGGAGATATTTGTTTAGATTTCCTTTAGGTTCATATGTTAAACTATGTCCTGATGTGACACTCATCTTTGGATCGGCACCAAAACAAAACATAATCTGATCATTCGAGCACAATATCAATGCAATCTGTCAAACAGTTAACTGAGGTTTTGTGTACGGATATGTACTTCCTATAGAATTCTTTGTTAACCATATTGACATCTTTCAATTGTTGAATGCTGCTCTCTATTCTTTTGAATTAATCGTTGTTGGTTTGTTGTCTCATGAGCGCACTAGTTTTTTAGTTGCTGATCTATGCCTTTATTTTCCTCATAGACTTATTCTTTTTGTTCTGGTGGGATCCATTTTTGGAAACCTATAACAATTGATACTGCATCAAATATTTTGCATCAATTTGTAAAAAGTTGTTATTCCCAACATGCTTTTTATGGTATTATTTATGAACCTAATACTTTATAAATAGTCATTTGAAAAAGTACATCATGAGAGAAAGATTGTATCGAAGTGTTACAAAGTTCTGTCAAGTGGTTCATGAGCAATCGATGACACATGGGACATAAGGACAAAAGGACAGACTTCCCCATCATTAAATACATGTACCATACCCTTTAGCAGGTGGGTTAAGTCGCCACATACACGAACAGGAATAAAAGTGCCTGTCCTAATTCAGGAATCTTTGGGAAATAGTGGTCAATTGAAATATTATAACACATTGATATAACAAGAGTGTCCACGCTGAAATGTCGTGCCTGCTTTACTGACCATGCACTATTTCTTTTGAAAGTTTAATGCATAAAAGTACCACAGAAACTTGACATGTTCAATGATCCATGACAATGAAATTAGAGTCTGTCAAATTATGACAGTCAATTCTATAATCATAGATTAGACAGTCCATATATCACGATAATGACCAGTTTTTCAATAACTATTATATAATTAAATTGTTTTGAACATGCATGTAATATTTGCCACTGGACATAAAGCACATTTTGAATACATGTATTGTAAGTACTTTATGAATATGTTAGTATTTTTGAGGACTCTCACTGACTCAGTAGGATTATTTTTATATAATGGGATTATCCTCTTGAAATAAAGATTATTTATACGAAATTTTGTTCAATAATTATGTGTCGGATTATTAGGGTGTCGGTTCATTGGGTCGTCGGACTTTTGGGGTGTCGGACTAATGGAGCCTTGAACCGACATAAATTCAATCATTGACCAATGAAAAAAAATATATTTCTACAAAGTGTATGTACATGATCTCTTCATATAAATTTCACATGCAGTTTCCCTTGTAGTATGAAAACCAGGACAAGACCTGTTCAAACAGGAAGATTAAGAAAGCAAAGAAAACTGTGCACTTTATAAAAGGGTCTGGATGGGGTTTCTTCATTTCTGTATTCTTTAATATTTTATACCATTTTCACTATTTATTATAAATTTTGCCTGTTATTCTCTTTTCTATATATTCAAGCACCATATTATTCTCTATTTTTCATGGCTACTTCATAAAGACAACAAAGGGACTGATATGAAAGCCTGCCATTCTAAAGTTGCATTAAATCCGTGAAAAAAGAAGGGACATTGGATAATTGTCTGTTTTCTGTTTCTTGGTCTTTTCTCACTTGCCGTTGGAGGCAAAATTTATGTCTCTTTAGTTTGTATCTTATTATAAAAGAATATAGGTGAAAAATATAATCCCGCTAACATGTTTAACACCGCCACATTCTGTATGTATGTGACTGTCCCAAGTCAGGAGCCTGTAATTCAGTGGTTGTCGTTTGTTGGTGTGTTACATATTTGTTTTTTGTTCATTTTTATGTACATAAATTAAGCTGTTAGTTTTTTCGTTTGAATTGTTTTACATTTGTCATTTCGGGGCCTTTTATAGCTGACTATGCGGTATGGGCTTTGATCATTGTTGATGGCCGTACGGTGACCTATAGTTGTTAATTTCTGTGTCATTTCGACATTTGGTCTCTTGTGTAGAGTTGTTTCATTGGCAAACATACCACATCTTCTTTTTTATAAA